ATATTTTATGTAATATATATATATATATATATGTATATATGAAAAATATAATAAAAATGCATGTGGGTACTCAAATGAAAGGTCTCGACGAGTGTAATGTCAGGATGAGTTTATATCTTTAAAAATGTCAATATTTAAGAAATTACAAAAAACGAGCTTGTTAAACATTTAAATGAATTTAAAATAAAAAATTTTATAATTACCTTAATAAAACAATCATTAAAAGATAAATTATGCCTCAGAGAATTTTGCCATCTTCTTGTATCGCGTCGATAGTAAGGAAAGCGATCAGCAATAAACCGATAAATTTCCGCCAACGGGAGCATTTTCTCCTTGGAAGACCAAATAGCCATCGCGGTTAGCGAAATATAAGAGTACGGCGGCTTCTGCTCGCCACTGTAAGACTCCTTCGACGGTCTTGGCATGTTAACTAATTAATTAAATTAATTAATAAACTACAAAAAAACATTTTTTGTTCCTGCTAGCCGAGGTCTGCAGGACAGGCACCACACAATCACCCACAATCAAAAATCCATCTTTCACATTACATGTTCAAGTCGATGATTAATGACAAACGGAATTGAATAAAAAAAAATTAACAATTACGGTGATAATGATTGTGACTAGCTCGTTAATTAATAAAATCACTGTTTACTTGTACTGCGAAGAAAAACACTGGCTGACACAACAACGCCCGTTCCACTGGCTACTTAACGACGGTTAATTGCGCTATGTACCAGCAAAAAACAGAATGTCACGTTAAAAATAAACATCACATTGTCGTAACAAGATTTATTTACTCAATTAAATTTTTATTAAACGGCACTAAGGTTTAAAAATTACTTGCAGTAATTAATTAATTAATTAATTAGTTACTTTAAAGACTGATCGAGCAATAAATGACGTATAACATCAGACCTTGACTTTACGAGCAATAAATGATCGATACAAAATAACGAGGGTCATTATATGCCACTTAATTGATAACAGGTGGATTTAAAAGTCATATGTTAGATAACAAACAACAACAAATACTCAACCAGGTGTACATTCGTAAATACTCGTGGTTCTCGTGATACCGGCAGAGGAACTATATCGATATTTAGAACAACGATATTAACAGCGTAGTGTGTTAGTAGTCATTGCGTTTGCGCATCTCCATCGTTTGGGTCTTGGATATTTTTTTTAAAATTATTTTTGTTCCTCTTCAATCCCCCTATTCTTCCCACTGTTTTAGCTCGCGATTCCCTATTGGTTGCCTAATAATAGGCGGGACTTGTTTAAGCCCCGCCCACCGAGAATGGGTTGAATTAGCAATCACTCTGATCGGATGTTTACTCGATATGATACGAAGCAAGGTTCCGAGATGTAATATATTGCCGATACTGTGCAGAGTGGAAAAATAATTCATGTACTTAGCGCAGAATTACTCATGTCAAGATTTTGTGCACACCATTTTGAATAGACACGCCCCCGAGGTGGGACTTAGAAAGGCAACGCCCACAAATCTCAGCAAGGTGTGTAATTGAATTTTATTTAAGCGTTTTTGCGCGACTTACCCGTGAGATTTATGCGATAATCTTGTGTTTAATAAATTTTTATTGATAATTAAAAAATATTGTTTTTGTTGTGTTTTAAATTTTAATTAAAAATATCAATTAATATCAATAGTGATTTACGTGGATACTGTTTTATCGCTATCGGTGACTCTAGTTGTAATTGCAATAAATTTATTAGGATTATATATTACCGGTTTTATTGTGGTGTGCAGTTGGGGATGCGGGGTGGAGCGAACCACCATTTTATTTTTGTTCGGCGATAGAGGAATTATTCTTCATATCACAATAAGGGATGCACACCAAGCACACCATCAGTTATTGAAAGTGGTTTTTCAATAAACCAGTACAGTATTAGTAATGTAAGTATGTATCTGGTAAGTAAATTCGTGTGAGTTTCTTATGGTGTGCATGCTTGGGAGTGCATGTGTGTGTGAAGTGTGTACCAGTTAGGATGGTGCGGTATCGATCAATCTGGTATAATTTGACGGTTCACCATAACGTAATACCATAATGGTTTGCTGATGGGCATTGTTGCTTGCTCGTTCGCTTGTTCGTCCGTCCGATTGCCCTGTTGGTTTGTTATTATACTTCGGTCATTATCGTACATTAGGACTAGTATATATATTTACGAAAATAAAAGAAGAAATAAATAAAAAAATTTTATATATAACATATAATATATATGGACGTGAAGAACAAGTAGCTTGTTTTATTTTCTTCTCATTCCAGCTGGATAGTACTGCGTATATATAATGTAACTTATTGACTGTAAGAAGAACATAACAACGATTTTACAGCGAGTTTTTATTATACCGTTTACTTCTTTGCGACGAAGGCCATTGCAATAAACGTAGATTGTATATGGATAATAATGGTATATGGGGGATGTTATTGTTCGTATTAAATAATTCAATATTGCAGTTTGTTGAATTTATAAGGGTTGTTTAAAGTTATTTTATTGTGTAATAGAGATCAAGTTCGTTGAAGAAATTTTATAAATAATGTTTGTGCAATAACTAGTTACAGTGTATTTTCTTTATTACATTGCGTTGTTGGATAATAGATGTAAGTGATGGATTTTACCGTGCTTAACACGTTGTAATGTTTTTACATAATTTATAACAATCTATGGAAAATTCGATGGCTTTGCTGTTTGTTATGTAAGCTTCAGTTTTACTTTAAGAAGTATATTCTTCTTTTTATTACTTTTATTTGTTATATAAAGTTAATTGTTTTCAATCTGAGGCTTCTTTGTGCAATATATTTTTTTATGTACTTCAATATTTCCAAATGTAGCTTTTGATATAATTTAATTTCAAAATTTTTTGGGTAAATTATGAGTCAATTAAAATTTTTTTGTTTGAGATGTAAGCACTTTTTTTGTTTAGGTTTAGGTAATTTTTAGGATGGTATTAAATTATTGATAAAGTTTAAGTGAGGGAAACATAGATATGAATTATTAACCGATAAAATCGGTTTTTTAGTGAAATTTAGTGTCATTGCAAAGGCCTTGACTTGCAAGTCATGAACTTGTGCCTTTTCAAGGTTTCATTTCATTTTTATCGATAGTCAATTTATTATGAAAAGTATTTAGGCTACATTCAAAAATGCTCTATCTCTAGATACATAATTAAGAAATGACCTTTCATCTCGTGAAATATTGACATTTTTAAAGATATAAGCTCACCCCGACATTACACTCATCGAGACCTTTCATTTGAATACCCACATCAATTTTTCATATATTTTATATATTTATATATATATATATGTATATATGAAAAATATATCAAAATGCATGTGGGTACTCAAATGAAAGCTCTCGATGAATGTAACATTGAGATGAGCTTATATCTTTGAAAATTTCAATAGCTCACAAGATACAAGGTCGTTTTTAAATTATGTTAAATTGTACTGTACTTTCTTAAATATTGACATTTTTAAATATATAAGCTCATCCCGACATTACACTCATTGAGATCTTTCATTTCAGTACCCACATCAATTTTTCATATATATATATATGTAAATATGAAAAATATATCAAAAATGCATGTGGGTACTCAAATGAAAGCTCTTGATGAGTGTAATCTCGGGATGAGTTTATATCTTTAATAACGTCAATATTTAAGCAAGTACAGTGTAATTTAACAAAAGTCACTATTTAATAAAGCAAAATTTTAATTTTTTCATTTTTTAAAAAGTTTTAAAGATTTTATTTAAAAAATTTTTAATAAACTGATCTTATTTCAATAAATTTATAAGGATTGTTTAAAGTTATTTTATTATGTAAAGAAGATCAAGTTCGTTGAAGAAATTTTATAAATAATGTTTGTGCAATAACTAGTTACAGTGTATTTTCTTTATTACATTGCGTAGTTGAATAACAAATGTAAGTGATGTATTTTACCGTGCTTAACACGTTGTAATGTTTTTACATAATTTATAACAATCTGTGGAAAATTCGATGGCTTTGCTGTTTGTTATATAAGCTTCAGTTTTACTTCAAGAAGTATCTTCTTCATTTTATTACTTTTATTTGTTATATAAAGTTAATAGTTTTCAATCTGAGGCTTCTTTATGCAATATATATTATTTATGTACTTCAATATTTTATTTCCAAATGTAACTTTTGATATAATTTAATCTCAAAATGCAAGTATTAATTTTACATAATGATAATAATACCATAAGTTGTATGTAAGAATGTCTATAGGCACTAGAACATTAATATTTAATCAAAGCTACTTGTTCAAAAAGTTTAATTGATGATTATTATTGTATATATTTGAGTTCTCACTAACTTTGTACAACTTTTATTTTAAAAAATAATGTAGTCGTGTTCGATTGTAAAAATCGTCAGCAAAAAGTTATGAAAAAGTTTTTTGATTGGCAGATTTTTTTTTTATAAATAAATATTAACGCGCTTTTTTAAGCACACTATTTAATTTATCAATTAATTTTAATTGTACGTACCGCTAAGCATTCACAGCCCACGTTAAAATTTTATTGAAATAAAAAAATCAGATTCAATGTATTATTGTTAATATATTTCAAAATATTTATATTAATTTTTGTTTCTTAATGTGAAAAATGAAACTAATTAATTCAATTAATCGATGTTACAAATTGACAAAAAATGCATTATTTTAAATGAATATTAAATACATTATCGATGATTATTTAAACGCGAGGCTTTTTTATAATTTTTTATATTAAATATTAATATATAACAATAATAATTATACATTAGATCAATCACACGTCAATAAATATATTAAAAAATATCGAAACTTAAGTACTTAATTACAATATAATTATAAATTACCGATTGCTATATTATTTTAACATAATATTAGGTCGCAATATAAATTTATTAATTTTTTTTTTGTTAATTAAAACAATTATATTTAATATCTTAAAAATGAGTACCCGGAAAATTTGATCCGGATTTTTTGATTGTGAGAAAAAGACTTTTATTTATTTTTATTATTACAATAATAATAAAAATTGTAGAAGAGGTAGTTTCTATTTCATCTGCAATGAAATAGAAGATACTTTTGCATTAATCGCGAGTTAAAAAAAAATTTATAATTTAACCAAATTGACAATTAATGAGTTACTAATAAATCTATTAAATGGGAAATGAAAGATTTTAATTTGAAAAATACAATTATTTTTGTACGAACATTATAATAAACTTGCAAAATTTTACAAGTCAAAAACAGTTGGAGGGATTCAATTAACAAGTGATTACTTTATCGTTTAAAACGGTAATCGCGATTAATATTAATAAATAAATATATTATTACATATATTATTGTATAAATAAATAAATAATGTATGTATATAAATAAAAATTGCCATGAGTTCTTAGCATCGACGGGTTGAAAACCTTCGCTCGAATTTCGGTGTCTGGATGTAAGACCTGAAATTATTTTTTTATTTTTTTATTATTTCATGTATTTATTATTCTGAAAGCTGCAAAATAGTCAAGCAGTTATTCAAACAAGTCATTAATTATCACTCCAAGCATTGAAGACAAACTTATCAAACAGTACTTTGTTAAGAGATGCACACCTCAAATGCACACCCGACTCTGTCGGTAATTTTTACTAATTGCTATAACTAAATTAATGATCAATAAATTATAGAATACAAATTGATCAATGAAGAACAAAATTAATTAATTTATAATTAAAATTAAATATTTTATACTTATTGTAAGGGTTGTCCTTTTACAGTATGAAAAGATTTGGTTATTATTTTAATAACATTTACAATAATATTTTATTTTGATTTTTTAAAAAAAGATTATCTTCGTGAAGAAATAAAATGGAATTTGTTTTGATGGAAAATATTATTGTTAAATTTCTAGGAAGAAAAAAAAATTGTTTTGTATTTTTTATCGGCGCAAATTAGTACGTGTAAGTACAAAAGATTTATTTTTAATTATTTTAATAATAAATTTAGTGAATTTAAAAATAAATTATTAATTTTTTTTCTGAAATTAATTAATTAATAATCATTGTATTATTATTAATAAAATTGTTTAGTTAGAAGCGATAAAAAAATGAATGCACACCAAAAAAAAAAATTGAGGTGTGCATTAATAATTAAATCACACAAAAGATAAATATTATTAGCAGTCATGAAGTATATTATCAAACTAAAAGTAAATGTTCTATACGTTCATAATTCGCCATGCTAAGTATAATGACCGTCTCATTAAAAAGTCTACCTTAACATTTGATCGACACTCGCTCACCTATTATTTATTCTCTCAGAACTGGCAGTAGTGACCTTGTTTAATTAAAGTAAAGAAAAAAAAATAGAATATGTATTCATAAAATAATATAATGTCAACGCAAATCAATGGCACACTTTATAGTGTCGTATTTATAACGTCATTAAATAATTATTGTTTTCACTTTGTAAGTAAAGATGTGTGTAGATATTGATACTTACAATTCAATACTTTGTATCGTTGATGTAGAACACATTGACTCGACTTTAACGTGACAATGTTTATGGCACTTCATTAAACAGTCTCTACATTCGTAGCCCTGTTTACCGAGTCTTCGGGCTAATGTTCTCTTACAAACTTCGCAAACAGTACCTCTGTTTAAAAAAAATAATAAAATTTAACATTTAACTCGGAAATATTTAATTAAAATATAATTAAAGAAGAAATTAAAATTTACCCTGGCATATGTTTCGCAATAAATGTATGGTCATTAAATATATGTAATTTAGTGCCTTTTTTTCTCCATTTACTTTTTTGTGCTAGTGACAATGGTACGAGGTAGTGTCTGAAAAAAAAAATTAAATAATTAATGAAATTATTTATAAAAAATAATGGTAGCTAGCAATCTTGCAGTCACTGAGTGACTGTCAAGACTTGTAAACTATAAATAAATGAAATTTTGCTTTATTGAATAATGATTTTTGTTAAATTACACTGTACTTTCTAAACTATTGATATTTTTCAAGATATAAGCTCATTCTGATGTTACACTCATCAAGAGCTTTCATTTGAGTACCCACATGCATTTTTGATATATTTTTCATATATTATGTATATATGAAAAATATATCAAAAATGCATGTGGGTACTCAAATGAAAGGTCTTGATGAGTGTATCATCGGGATGAGCTTATATATTTAAAAATGTCAATATTTAAGAAAGTACAGTACAATTTAACATAATTAAAAAACGACCTTGTATCTTGTGAGCTATTGAAATTTTCAAAGATATAAGCTCATATCAATGTTACATTCATCGAGAGCTTTCATTTGAGTACCCACATGCATTTTGATATATTTATTTTTTTATATATATATATAATAATAATATCATATATATACGAAAAATATATCAAAATGCATGTGGGTACTCAAATGAAAGCTCTCGATGAGTATAACATCGGGATGAGCTTATATCTTTAAGAAGAGCGATAAAAATAGAATAAATTAGAAAAAAAAATTCAGAATATCATAATTTAAAAATTTTTGAAATCGTAAATTTCGATTTTTTATTTTACTTAAATAAAATTCTATCTAAAATAAAAATATTTACTTTTTAACTCCATTCTCAAGAGTTTCTAGTACTAAAGTAGATGCTTCATTAATATACGTCCTCGTAGAAGTTCCGCTAATGGCAGAAGCTTCGCTGAGACTGGATCGTCTTGAATGTTCTTCTTTTCCTGGTACAGATAGCAAAGCTGTGAAATTTTTAATTGTTAATTACTCACACGCACTCAAAGCGGTTGTTAATATTATTATTGAGAAAATTTTAGCAATTACTAGTAATGTTTACACTAATTAAGGATTAAATGATAGATGATGATTAAAAACTTCCATTATATAAATTATAAATTAAATGTTAAAAAAACTAATTGTAATTTGTAATGCAATATAACTATAATAAGCCATTGCCATGCAATCGAGGACAACTCACCGGGGTATATCAGTGTAACCACGTAATAGTATATTAAACGGAAGGCAGTAAAATAATATTTATGATTGTATAAATACTCGTAAAAGTTATGAGAAAATTTATGCTAATACCCGAGTAATGAGCAGTAAATACAAGTAATTGATAAAAAAAAAAAATAAAATATTTTTACTGGATTTGTCATTACATTGTAGTTGATTTTTTATTAATTCTAAACTATCAAGTGAGAAAAAATTACCAGATCCGGGATCGCGGGCTCTGTCCGCAGATATTGATCTAGAATGAGCGTCTTCATGGTTTATGTCTCCTTCTGGACCAGCAGATCTGCTTCTGTTTCGAGATCTGTTTAAACGCCTTTTTATCGTGCCAAAAAAGTCGCGGCGTTTCCTTCTTGTTCTACCTCGTTGTTCTAAAATTTAATTAATTATTTATTTATTTATTAATAATTATTATTTCAATTGTCATTTAAAAAGCTGAATTTAAATTACCTCGTAAACTATCAGAATTAGACGAATTAGGAGTGCTTTCTATACCTGAAGTAGCGCTAATATCCCTGTTGGCGTGCTAAAAATATAAAATAAAAATAAATTACCACAATAATAATCAACAATAAGTGTGTGAGTAATACTGAAAGAATTTAAATGATAAATAAAAGACAAAAGGTAATAAATTACCTCGGGTGAAATTTCTTGCCAGCTTCCGTTCTCAGAAAGTGTCACCTGTTGAATTAGTCAACACACTAAAACTTTAGTATTATTGAGCATGCAGTTTGTCTTGTTTATTCTAAGTAACTCATAAATTATGTCATTACTCGAATTAAGCAAGCGAAATTAAATCGACTATTCTAATTCTTAAAAATCACTCGCAAGTGCCAAAAAATTTTACAGCAAATAGAAACTTAAAAATCAAATTTTTTTGTTTTTTAATTAACAGGAATTTTAAAAGTGTTCTGCTACACGGAAAAACAAGATGACACTGGATATCATCCTAGATTATACTGCGTGATATCTGGATTATACTAATTGTAATCTGGATTATACTAGCTACTATCTGAATTTTTTTTTTTTCACTCAGTGTAATCTGGGATGATATCCAGTGTCATCTTATTCTTCCCGTGTCGTCTAAATATTTTATTAAATGTTAATTTTTTTTATTAATTTTATAAATTAAAATCCCAGAGGACGTCTCTTAAAATTTTTACACTCACCTTAACTATTTGTCGCTCTGGCAGCTAAAAAAAAAAAATAAAAAAAAATGATAAAAAAACACGGGGAAAATCCATGCGTTAGTACAAAAATTTGGTATTATTAAAATCTTTTATGTAATTAACAATAAATAATCTTACCCTCTGTTGGCTGTGTACAATTAGAGTACCTTTATTGCCATTACTCTGGCCAGTTCTGTATGGCGACTCGCCAGTCGTTCCATTTGTCAGGAAGTCTGAAAGAAATGATAGTCCTAATATAAATAAGAAAGTGGAGTAATTTTTCAGTTACACTTTTTTTGTAATAAATAAATAACCACACGACTGAGAATTAACTAATAATCACACTACTGACGATTAATTCGATCATGCCGGTCTATAAACTATAACTACGCTCTCAAAAATAAATAATTATTTATTATTTTTTAAAATATAATTTTAAAATTAATTGTATTTCTTCTATAGTAGGAAATTGGAGCTTTGAGTTTAAAACCAAGCAACGTTTTGGAATCTATCACGAGTGCATCCATGCGAATTTTATTTGAAAACGTGTAGGCTTAAAAACGTTGTCTTTAGATAAGGGTGAAGAAAGTTGAAAAAGGAGTCCAGAGTGGCAAGACAGTGCTGAGTGATGAAAAAACTAATACAGAAAGTAAAGGTGTCACTCAAGTAAGGACGGATGCCTCGGGAGATATTATAATCGGTAATTACCCCCGGTCGACTGAGCAGAAGTGTCGTACAAGATAAGAGTGCTGTTACCATTGTTATAATTAAGACTATTATTGCTGAGTAGATTCGTTGGGTTGTATGTGCGGGTTGGAGATGATGGTTTTATTGCTTCCTTAACTTTAAATGGCTTGGCTCCTATTTGCGGGACTTCTGCTCCCTCAATAAATACAAACTGTAATTAAAAGTTTTTTTAAAATTATTATTGTTATTTATCAAAGCTCAATCTTGCTATAAAAGTCTTAAGACTAATTTTATTGGTATAAATTTTATTAATTTAATTTTTTTAAATATTTAAATTATTAAATTTAGCTGTTTTATTTTAAATACTGTAATTAACATTTTTTAGATTTTTTTTAATTAAAAAAAAAAAAAAAATTTAGACTTAATTAATGTAAAATTTTATGAAGACATAGATTTACTTAAAAAAATTTTTTTAAGAAAAAAAATGAAATTAACAGACTTCTGAAATTTTTTTTTTATTGAAAAAAGTCCAAGATATAAAAAATTATATGTGCAATTTTTTAAAAATATTTTTTTGGCTCTAATTCAATTAATGACAACAATAAAAAAATTTTTAAACGTCTGCTGGTTTCAGTATTATAAAAAAAATCATTAGAAATATTATTCAAAAATGCCCCAATAGGTTAAAAATTTTACAATTAAATTATGAGTTAATAAAAGAAGAAATCAATATTATTAAATTATTAAATAACTGTTCAAAATTTTGCAATATTCTTCTTAATAATAGTCTTCTAATTTATAACAAACTTTTTTTAAGTTTTTAAAAAATAATAAAAAAAAAAAAAAAAAAATTTTTACCTCAACGGTAAGAGTTCCAGTAACTTCATCTTGTTCATAAGGCCGCGCTTGTAATGGAATTATTTGTCTTTGACTTGGATTCATTAACAACTCTTCAATACCAACAATACCTAATCCTAAAAATCTGTTACTTTTGTTAACATGGTCATAAAGTTCCAGCAGTACTTCAAAAGTATTCTGACTGACATCACTGAAACCAAAAACAAATCATCATTACAAATAACTATTATTAAAATAAAAATTATTGAATTATAAATAACAGGCACTACAAAGCTTCAAAAAAAAAAAAAAAAAAAACTTACAATAAAAAGGCTTCGTCCCAAACAGGACTAACATTATTTTTTTTGACTGAAGTCTGGTGCTTTTGTGGGGGATCATCTAGCTCTACAACACAATAAGGCTCTACGCAACCTTGCTGGCCACCTAAATCACTCGCTTTTACGACTTTAACTAATAAACGTCTTTCGCCTGGAACGTATTTCTGTTGTCCTCCAGTCGGTCCTACTGAATGGCTCTGGAATTAAAATTTTTGCTAGCGATTACCACTAATAGGGCGACAATAGGCTCGGGAATAAATAAAAGGGTTTAAGTGGTAGAATTTATTTATATAAAAGCAATAAATAAATTAATATATATTTTACCATACTGTCGTAGTGAAGTGGCAGTGGGAACCCAGTCTGTGGTGGTGGTTCTCTCCATAATCTCGGACAAGTTGGATACTTGGACAAATTTAAATGAACATTTGTACCTCTGAGAGCACCGACTACTATTTCAGTCACAACTTCCTGCAACTGGCTTTCATCAAGGTCCTTTTTTATCGTGCCGACAGCCGCCAGTGAAACCTTCACCTTAAAAATCACATTTAATTAGTGTCAATTCTATCAATTGACCTTGTTAACTTATAAGTTATTAATATAAGCGATGAAGATAATAAAAAATAAATTATTTGTAATTTGATAAAGAAAAAAAATTATTATAAGTCATATTAAAAAAAAAAAAAAAAAAAATGAAGAAAAGAAGAAATAAACAAAGTGATTTGTCAGAGTTTTAAATATTTTTATCTAGAATAATTTAAAACTTATCTACAGAAGCTATCAGTTGTCATTAAAATGTAATTACCTCGGGCCATCCATCACATTTCAAGTCCAATAGTAATTTTTCCGTAATACAAACGACATTAAGACGTGCACGGAAGCGGTTAACGTTGACGCGATAATGACTGACCTCTACCTTATCTCCTTTTTGACGGAAAGCTTTCAATTGCAGAGCTGGTGTCGCTTCACAGTCACAAGTTATTGTCTGGAAAATATTTTTTTTTTATCAATAAGTGATAAATATTTAGTCAAAACAATAAAATATATTTTTTTAAATTAAACTTTTTATATTTAATGAAAATTAAGTTAGCCGACATCTAAAAATTTTTTATTGAGAAAATTATGACAAAAAAATTTAATTTGTAAAAAAAAATAAAAAAACTATAAGTGCAATTTAAAAAAAATTTTTTTTAGTTCTAATTTAATAAGAAAAAAAAAATCAAAAAATTAAAAACGTCGGCTAACTTTATTATTATTTATATTTAAATAATAAAATTTAATTTTGGTGATATAAAAATGTCATTAATAGACATTAAACTTAAATTTATTATAAAAAAGAATTCATTTATTGTTTTTTACTATTTCTTCACATGAAATTAAAGAAGAAATTTTTTTTATTACAATTTGTTATAAAAATCTAAAAAATTATTAAATATCACTTAATTTCAGTATAATTAAATGAAAATTAAGTTAGCCGACATTTAGAAACTTTTTTTTAATGAAAAAATTAAAAAAAATTTTTTATTTGTAAAAAAACTTGAAAAACTATCCGTGCAATTTTTTAAAAATATTTTTTAGTTTTAATTTAATAAATGAAAAATAAATTATAATTAACTAAAATAAAATTTAATAATAATAATAAAAAACTTTTTTACTTACAACATCATCTCTAGAATCGCATTCACAAAAAATATTTGAAAAACTAGGTGATTGAGTTTCCGGAAGTACTCTCACAAATTCAACTCCAACTCCATGCTGAAATATAAACAAATTTATAAATAATATTTTTTATCATCTTCATCTTGAATATTATTATTATAAAAATGATAATTTAATACTAAATACATAATAATAGGTATGAATATATCATTAGAGCTATTATTTTCGTCATCAATTCGTGACTAAAGATAGTTATGGTACACTTATACTTTGTATATATGTACATATTATGGCATATATTTAAGCAGACATCACTCTGAGTAAACGTACGTGGCTACAATAATAAACAATAATTAAACGCGTGTTCTGCAACAGTTGAAAATGAAAATTCATCCAATACATTACGGAGCAAGTCATGCAGATAATTTAGTAATTACAGTAAATAATAAATAATAAATAACAATAATTATTATAATTAAAATAATATATTGTAGAAAGTAATTCATTTTATAAAAAGATTTATGCCCCGTGAATTAATAAATATTTATAATTTAAAACTAAACATACTATTCAATTCTCTAATTAATTTACCATGAAATAATTATTTATAGTTTTTTATAATTGATAAAAAAGTGTTTCTTATATACATATAAAGGTACCGCGTGTGTAATGTTATTTTAAGCGATGAGAAGTGACGTCAGCGAACGCACGCGAGGTAAAAGGATGTTGACAACAGACTTACACACTTACATATGTTTTAATCTATGTATATATTTTTATAAGTGACGCAATATATGTCTTTTCCGCACCCGCGATCTATGACGTAACAAAACCCGGCCCAAATATATCATACGTTATATTATTATATCTTTTTTTTTTATTACGTCTTCAATTTAGTTAAGTCAGACCTAACACTAGGAAGAATACTTAAAAGCTCTTTGCTTAGTTTACATATCACATTATATATAGACGGTATAAATTTATACACTGATTTTTAAATAATATAAAGCTGGTTTATATATACAATATTTACAAACTTAGCGATTAATTTTTAACAATGAGCCAATTTGTATTACATTGTATTAATTATTTCTTCATGATTTATTTTTGGTGCAATTAATTTTTGCGATTGAATTATTAATAATTAATTACAAAGTATAAAATTAAAAATTTACAATATGATTTAAGAGTTATCAAAAATATTCATTTTATTTCTTCATTAAAAATTTTTTATGCAATTTAATTGTTATTAATTATAAATTATAGAAAAATATAAAATTAAATTTTAGATTAAAAAAATTTATCAAAAATATTGATTTTATTTCTTCATTATTAATTTTTTGCAATTGAATTATTAGCTATAAAATTAAATTTTTAAATTAAAATCAATCTGAATAATTTACAATTTATCAAAAATATTGATTTTATTTCTTCATCATTGATTTTTTATGAAATTAAATTATTATTAATTATAAATTATAAAAAAATATTGATATTATTTCTTCATCATGAATTTTTGATGCCATTAAATTTTTACAATTAAATTATTGTTAATTATAAATTTACAAAATTAAAAAAACAAACCGAATAATATATAATTTATCAAAAATATTGTTATTATTTCTTCATTATAAATTTTTGATCCAATTAAATTTTTGAAATTGAATTATTATTAATTATAAGTTATAGAAAAATATAAAATTAAATTTTGGATTAAAAAAATTTATCAAAAATATTAATTTTATTTCTTCATCATAAATTTTTTTTGCAATTAAATAATTATAAATTGTAGAAAAATATAAAATTAACAAAACAATCCGGACGATTCATAAGCTATAAAAAACATTGATTTTTTAAAGTACAAAGTCAGTACGTCTGGGGAAGAATAATAAAACTTAAAGCTCTCCTATCATACATGTATAATTGTATTATTTCTCTTATAATAAAATACAGAGTTGGATGTTTGGTGAATTTTCGTACTGGAAAGTGGGTTACACAGAGTAGAGAACACGCATGCTCGAAATCTCCGCGTGCAGTACAATTGGGTGGTTGTAAAGATTAATAATTCTTTCTTACTTTTTAAATCCGTCTTATAAACAAAGTTAATAAAAAAGATTACATTATTCTTATAAAAAAAAAAAAAAAAACTATCTGTCTGCAGGTCGGATTTTACGCCTCACATTATGCTAATTTTGTTTTCAAGATGACATCAGAAGCCTTGACATTATAATCAGAGGAGTTTAAACACCGATAACTTTAATTTAAATATAAAAATTTAATTTGTTTGTTGATTAAATTTTAATATTTAATTTTGTGTCCGAAAAAAAAAATTAAATTAAATCAAGAGAAAAATTCTTGAACCTAGAAAATAATTTTGAAGAGTTCTAGCGGCAATGTTTACTCACAAGCTAAATAAAAAAAAAATCTAATCAAATTTTCATAATAGACACAACAGCTGAGACCTTTGAGAAGCTCGTGAAGTTTATTTACACTGATGAAGTTTTGGGTTTGAATGCCATTAGTAAATAAGAGGAAGTTAATTATTTATTATGAAATTTAATCCCGGAAATATTTATTTAAGCTTCATTTATAATTTAATATTTAAATAATACTTATTTTTAAATTTCGAGATGAAATTTTTAAAATTATAAGAATAATAAAGTATCATTAATAGAAAAAATCAATAAAAAATTTTTTCAGTTAATTAAATTACTTCTTGGAGTAATTGTTAGAATAGAGATGTCAAATGTGAGGATTGAAAGCTTAGACCAAAAGGCGTCTATGTTATCTAATGACAACCATGTGTCGCTCGGATTTCTTCTATGCTCAATTGATTGCAATTGCGGTGGCCCTTGATTTGGATAATTAAATAAAAATTCATGACCCGTGTTATTAATATCGTATATCAGTGACAGATTTATGTAAGAAAATTTATCCATACTTATATAATCATGTAAATACTTAATTTTTTTTAGTATTTCATTAATTATTTATTCAATTTTTTAGATTGAAAAACTTGTTTTTTAAATTACTAAATAATTTGATGAAAATTACTAAATTATATGATAGTAAAATCAATAGATATAAAATTATTTTTTATTTTATTTAATAATTGAAGCAATATTAAAAATTTTCCATTCATAATTTTTACAATTTCTACATTTAGAATTTTTTTCTTTAAATTTTTTTGTTATAAAGATTAATTTATCACATTAAAAAAAAATTTTTTAGCATAAAATAAAATATTTGGCAGACACCTAACCATTTTTATTTTCTTCGACAAATTAATGAACACTAAAAATTTATTTATAAAAATTTTAACAATATCTACATGTGAAATTGTTTACTTAAAATTTTATTTATCAAAAAAATAATAAAAGAGTCAATTTATTATGATAAGCATTTAAGCTGCATTCGAAAATGCTCTATCTCTAGATACATAATTAACAAATGACCTTGCAATATCTTGAGAACTATTGACATTTTTAAAAATATAAGCTCATCCCGATGTTACACTCGTCAAGAGCTTTCAATTGAGTACCCACATGCATTTTGATAAATTTTTCATATATTTATGTATATTATATATATGTATATATGAAAAAATATATTCAAAAATGCATGTAAGTACAGTGCAATTTAACAAAAGTCATTATTTAATAACGCAAAATTTTATTTATTTATAGTTCACAAATCACAGCAGTCACATAGTGACTCGAAGGTTGTTAGTTAATGATAAAGCGTAAAATAAAAAAAATAGTACCTCATCGACGGAACCAGCGACGAAATCATTAAGCGAAGTAACCCAAACAGCAAGTAGTTCATTAAGAATCACCAGGTCAGAATGAAGCCAAATGACAAGCTCGTTGACCCAGCGAACGGCCTCGGCATCGGCACCGGTCGCGGCCGGCAGGTGAAGGGCACGGGAGCTCCTCGCTGGGCTTACCAGCGGACCCGACGTTTTTCTGGTGAGTCTCTTGCGCGTAGGTGGTGTTGGTGGTACATATCCAATTCCCGGTCCCCCGCCACCACCGTGACTGGCAACCGAGGGACTGCTAGAGGAAGTCAAATTCCCAGAAGAAGCTGCCAAGGACTTGGCCATCGCAACTTTGATGGGTTTTTCCTGGGTAAGGAGCTTGCTGGCGATGTTACCCGCGGACACGACACTTTCACCGATCCCATGGTAACCATGTCCATCTTTAGCACTTGGACTCGCTGAAGAGGAGGTAGCAGCAGCGCTGACACCCACATGACCACCACCCGCAACGACACTAGATCCCGAAGAAGAACCGAATTTCTCGTTAAGTACAAAGTTATTGTAAATATATTTACCAATACACAAAACAATCAGACCGAATAGCATCCAACCGAATATTAACATCGACAGTGTATCCATCGTGGTGTCACCAGACGAGTCGAAACTGCATATCAGATCGTCCACCCGCTCGGCCAAGTCGGCCATATTGCCCCATCGTTCTGCCAACCAAGTCCAAGTAGATTCCAAAAACATTCTTTGCTATTTTCACCGCTGGCGGCCCCCTCCAAAACCAGATCTATTAATATCGTTAAGCGAGACGACTCAACCAGCCACCGCGTACATATCCCGGGCGATTTACACCAGCTCCCACTACCCGAGTAGACACTTGTCTTCACACTTTACTTTACTCTACACCTTCCGGCAACACGAGTTTGAAATTCAATTCCCGCTTGCTTGGTTCACCTGAAACAAAATTTTTAATTAATTTTTTATCTGTAATCTTGATGTGTCTTATCGACTCTGAGGGTCATTTTTTAAAATTCTTATTTATAATCAATAACTATTTTTATTTATTGTGATTTTATTTTTACTGATACTGTTTAGTTGTACTGACCTCAATTTACTAATGGATTCGCCGGTAATTTATCAAGATTTATCGCCTGGTAACTTGGCATTTATTTTACTAGTAAGTTACTTGATAATTATTACAAACATCACGTGTTACTTTAGGGCGGTTGCTTAGCACCCACTGCTTCCTAACAATTTTTTGACAACTCAATACTTTGCTTCCCCTCAACCTGTAAATTAAAATACATTTTATTAATTATATTTTAAAGTTTTCTTCTTTAATTTTTAAGAAGAAATTATCTTAAAATTATCAGATTATTTCAGTAATTTTATTTAGATCAGTGATAAATTTTATTAATTATATTTTAATTTTTAAAAATTATTTAAGTTTTCTTCTTTAATTTTTAAGAAGAAATTGTCTAAAAATTATCGGAGTATTTCAATAATTTTTTTTTTTTAAATCAGTGATACATTTTATTAATTATATTTTAATTATTTAAAAATTTTCTTCTTTAATTTTTAAGAAGAAATTATCCAAAAATTATCAGATTGTTTCAGTAATTCTTTTTTTTTTTTTTTTTTTTTTTTTTTCAATCAGTTATTCAGAAAATACAGATGGTTTTTTTTACAAAAACAAAGCATCTAAAAATAATTATAAATTACTGTGAATCAATTTAAAAAAATTACAATGAAAATAAATGTATTAAAAAACTTTTTAAAGCAGACAAATTAATATAAAAAATTAAATTAAAAATCCATAAAAAAATCAACGAGTTTCAAAGTATGATTCATTAAAAATTATTATTATTTTAAAAATTATCATTAAATTTTAAAATTATTAAAAAAAATTATTTGAAAGTTTTCTTCTTTAATTTTTAAGAAGAAATTGTCTAAAAATTATCAGATTGTTTCAGTAATTTTTTTTTTAATCAGTCATTCAGAAAATACAGATGGTATTTTTACAAAAACAAATAAAGCATCTAAAAATAATTTTAATTGATAAAAAAAATTACAATGAAAATAAATATTAAAAAATTTTTTTATATCCGACAAATTAATATAAAGAATAAAAAAAAAGTTTAATTAAAAATACATAAACAAATTAAGGAGTTTGAAAGTATAATTCATTTAAAATTAATCTTTATAAATATTTAATGAGCCGGGTATAAAAGTTTTCTGATAAAAATTCTTTAAGCTAGTCTGAAGTTAAATATTTAAAAAGTGTCTAAAGTTAAAAAATAAAAAATAGTTGAGTATTCTTACTGAGTAAGTAAATAGAGTCAAAGATCAAACACATGTGGCTTTATCACTCGCTTTTATAACACGTCAGTCCAGTTACTCGACGCTTATTAATTAATACAATTAGCTAACAATTATAAGCATTAGTTGAACAGCTAAAGTATGTCAGCTTAGTAATAACAATAATAATGATTATTAACAAGAGGATTAAGACTAAAGATTTTAACTGGAGTAGCTCTTTAAATATTATCTTAAAAGTTGGAGTTTTGACTGGAGATAGGTCCAAAAGCCGGGAGTTGCTCTGACACTGACTTGACTCTTACTACTGACTCATATCAAGTGTTAAACGTAATACTGCCACGCCGTCGGCGCATTATTGTGTTCCCTCTCTCTTATTTATTTTTTTGTTTGCTCGCGGTCACTATTACACAGCTAAGTCATCCAGCACACTCCAGTCATGGTTCACCTTTAAGTATTTTTTAATAATAATTAACAATTCTGCTTGTAGTATTATTATGTCCAGTCTATTTTTTATCCCTGTAATAGATTAAAAATTGTATATTATATTACTCGTACTTATTTTAATACAACTTTCACGCAGTTATGTTACAGTACTCCGATAACGATAAGCGAGTAGTGTACAGTAACGTGAACAGCACATTGCTGTCTGTCTTACTTTCTCTTCTCCAGCTTTTTATGTCTACCACGTTTGTTTATAATCTACGAGCCGATCTCTGGTAGTATTTGTATGTATACACTTGCTCAGTACACTGGAGTCTCATATATTGATCCAATGCGCACCCATTACCATGTACTGCAACAAAAAGCTTCAATTTATGTCAATTTGTACTTGTTTTTTAATTGCTTTGTTTTTTTTACTTACCTTTTTGGTTTGTTAGCTCCAAAAAATTTACAATATTATATGAAGAAATAAAAAAAAAATTATTCATAATTACAATTAATTTTTTAATACTAATTTATTTAATCGGGATTTTTAAATAAAAAGAAGAATATAAAACTAGCAATATTGCAGTCACTATGTAACTGCTGTAAATGTAGACTATAAATAAATAAAATTTTGCTTTATTAAATAATAACTTTTGTTGAATTGTACTGTATTTTCTTAAATATTGACGTTTTTGAAGATATAAGCTCATCCTGATGTTACACTCATCAAGAGCTTTCATTTGAGTACCCACATGCATTTTCATATATTTTTCATATATGCATATATATAACATATATATAAATATATGAAAAATTTATGTGAGTACTCAAATAAAAGGTCTCGATGACTGTAACATCGGGATGAGCTTATATCTTTAAAAATGTCAATAATTCACGAGATACAAGGTCATTTCTTAATTATTGATATTTTTTAAGATCTAAGCTCATCTTGATGTTACACTTATCAAGAGCTTTTATTTGAGTACCCACAAGCATTTTTGATATATTTTTCATATATTCATATATATAATATAAATATATAAAATATATAAAAAATTGATGTGGGTACTCAAATGAAAGGTCTTGATGAGTGTAACATCGGGATGGGCTTATATCTTTAAAAATATCAACAGTTCACGAGCTATAAGCACATTTCTTAATTATTGATATTTTTTAAGATCTAAGCTCATCTCGATGTTACACTCATCAAGAGCTTTCATTTAAGTACCCATTTGCATTTTTGATATATTTTTCATATATTCATATATATAATATAAATATATAAAATATATAAAAAATTGATGTGGGTACTCAAATGAAAGGTCTTGATGAGTGTAACATCGGGATGGGCTTATATCTTTAAAAATATCAACAGTTCACGAGCTATAAGCACATTTCTTAATTATTGATATTTTTTAAGATCTAAGCTCATCTCGATGTTACACTCATCAAGAGCTTTCATTTGAGTACCCACAAGCATTTTTGATATATTTTTCATATATTCATATATATAATATATATAAATATAAATATATAAAAAATTGATGTGGGTACTCAAATGAAAGGTCTTGATGAGTGTAACATCAGGATGAGCTTATATCTATAAAAATGTCAATAATTCTCAAAATACAAGGTCATTTCTTAATTATGTATCTAGAGATAGAGCATTCTCGAATGCAACCTAAATCATCATAAATTGACGACGAGAATGATATGAAACCATAAAAAGGTACAACTCCAGGTCTCGAGTCTTTCAACGATACCAAATTTAACCACAAAAACCCATTTTATCATATAAATACACTCCCTAAAATTTTACCTATCCTCTTAATAATATAGATTAAACAAAAATATTTGAACATAAATAAATAAAAAATAAAACAGGTAAAGGTATGTACCTAGTATAAAATACAAAAACAATTCTTGTGTTTTTTTTTATTGTTTGTCATTTACATACAAATATTTTTGTTGATCATGATACGCTTATGAAACAAGATTATTTATGTTAATTACATGTTACATATTTCGCTATTGTTAATAAAATTTATTGAACTTGTCCTTTTAGATCCTTGAATCAATAAATTCAATAATGGTGTTATAAACTTGTCTGGTTTTTATTTTTAGTCAGTGTATGCCGTTAATCATCAGACGAGATATTGATATAATAATATAATTAATACAAACTTTTTTTTTTTTCTTTAACATTATCCTTAATAACTATTTTCAAATACTATGTGGCGTTGTTTTAAATCATCACTCCTTTTTTTTGTTTATTTTTTTAAATTATGTATACGTCCTGACTTTCCTTCAATATAATTAATAATTTTAATTATACAATAATATTATTTTAAAAAACCATTCGTTTCCTCCTCACGGAAGTCAACAACGTCATTGCAAGTATTATTTAATATTTAATTTTATTTATAATATTTATATAAAAAAAGGAAGTAGTACTAGTGCGATGACAAGTGATTGAGATATTATACAATTAAATATTAAATATTAATTATCTACCGGTGAATTATTACAGAGGCAGTAATTATTTTATTATTTAATTAATCTCAATCTAATGCATCGTTTAAATGCACTGACAAAACACACGACGAATTATTCGGCAAGTTTTTTTTTTTAGCGAGTCGGAATTATTATTATTATTATTAAATGCAAATATTTATTATTTTATTTATTATTAATTATTTTATTATTTATTATCATTAGCGTTATTAATTATTAATTAATAAATATTGTAGTGCATTAAATAAAAATCACGTTCCAATCACAGCCGTTTATTGGCAATCCTATTGTTAAACTGCCTGGTATTGAAGATATTTTTAATTTTTACAGTTAAAAAAAATTAATAAAAAGTAGACAATGTTAAATATAAAAATACAAAAATTTAATAATTAAATTTAATCTGAAAATTTTTATTTGTTAAACCGTTAACTCGCTTTTGCTTGCCGAATAATCCGTATTGAAATTATTTTTATCAGAACAATTTAATTATTTACGTGTACAACTGTACAATTGAGACAACTTATAATAATAATTATAATTATAATCTTACAATAAAATCCAATACATATTTGTTTCTTTTAATTTCAAACAGCATAAACAGTTGTAACAGAACAGATAATTATTATTTAATTATTAAAACCTATTTATTATGAATTTTTTTTTTTTTTTTTTTTTTTTTTTTTTT